CCTGCCCACCGAAGTGGTACCTTTTTATCTACTTGCATTTGCATGCTTTCGAACTGCAAGGTTGGCAGGAGCTGGGACGGAGCAACAGGAACTCACCCCGTTGTGCAGATTCGAACCGGTGACCTTTTGATCAACCAGCCCGGCAGCACAGCGGTTTAAACCACTGCGCCACCTGCAGTCCCGCTAAGAGAGGATAGTGGTCAACAATTGGAAAAATTAAAGCAGGCAAGCATCCCTAAATGATGCTCTGTTTACATATTTATTTATATCCTGCCTTTTTCCTACAAAGAGCTCAAGGCAGCTTACATCTCCTCCTCCATCTTATCCCCAGAACAACTACCCTGTGAGATCGGCAGGAGAGGCCCTTCTCCGGGAACCCTCCATGAATGAAATTAGGAGGGTGGGTACTCGGAGGAGGGCTTTCTCTGCAGTGGCGCCTAAGTTATGGAATGCGCTCCCCAGAGAGGTCCGCTTGGTGCCGTCGTTATTTGTTTTTCGGTGCCAGGCGAAGACCTTTTTATTTAAGCGGCATTTTAAATGTTAATATTATTGAATTTTATCTGGCCAGGGCGGCTTATTTTATATTGTATTTTTGTATTTTAATCTAATGTTTATATTTTTTAATTTAAGATTATAATTATTTTAATTTATTGTTGTAAGCCGCCCCGAGGCTTCAGCGAATGGGGCAGCATAAAAATGTTTTAATAAATAAATAAAATAATAATAGGTTGGGCTGAGAGTCTGTGACTGGCCCAATGTCACCCAGTTGGCTCCATGGCTGAACGGGGACCAGAACCCAGATCTCCTGAGTCCTAGTCCAGTTTAGATGTATTACCATATTACATTATAATAATCTAGTATAATTTATAATCATTATATTGAATCCACATCCCAATGTTCTTCCTCTTGCAAAGCACCAAAGACAGCTTACATAGTCCTCTGCTCCATTTTTATCCTTACATTAACAACCCTGTGAGTTAGGTTAGACTGAGAGTGAGTGACTAGCCCAGTGAGCTTCATGGCTAAGCGAGGAGTAGCACCCAGATTTCCTGAGTTCCAGTCCAACACTTCAGTCATTCTGCCACAGTGGCTCTCACTAGGGGGTCTGAATGGAAGCTTATGTACTGTAAGAGTTTCAGGCCTTATAATGTTTAGAGACTGTGTCTTCATATTATCACATTCTGTACAAAACCAATCCTAATCCACGCACAGGCACATTTTGAGTGTCTATTTAAGAAATCACACTTTTAAAATTGGTGAATTGTCTTGTTAATTAGGCAAGGAAAGTAATCAGGATGAACAGGAACTTCCCCAGGATGAGCAATACCTGTGTGAGGGGAGAGGGCCTGGTATCTTCTGACATTGGTTTTGGATGTATTATTTTCTACATATATTTTAGATAGATTCTAGTTCTTCAAGGCAGGGATCATATTTTTGGGCATACGTATGTTAGGGAAATTTGGATAGGTATGGTTTTTCTTAGCATATTTTGCTGTCATCTGCTCTGCAATGTATAAGCAGTTGCATATGTGGTTTTAGTAACATTTCTAAAATTGCAGGTTTGACTTTTGAAAAGTCTCTGTTCCTTGTTTAGCCAAAACCCCATAGAAAAAGAAAAAGAAGCTGTCATGGGCAGTGGCAAAGGTGGGTTTTTGCCATTCTTGCAAAGCAGCTCATTAGTCAGTTCCTGCAAACCACAATGGAATCCGTCTCCCAGGTTCATAGAGCTGATAAACCCATTGTACTACCAGCAACCCCTAGAACAAGCCATGGGTTTTTAAGGTGATTTCCTGATGAAAAGCAAGCCTCCTATGGAAAGTGTTTTGGATTTCTGTGACATAATCCACCATGGCTGGTTACCCATGATGGGCTTTTGTACCGTGCAAACCCAGCCTTGCTCTTATGAATGGAAGGACTGGAGAGCAAGCAAACTGGATGGACGCAGCAGCACACAGCTCATTCATAATATGGCTTAATAAGCCAGGTTTTCTGGCTCTGAGAGACTGACAGACATGACATGGGCCACATAATAATCCCTGTGTGTCTACAACTCGTTTGTCATCTCCAGCTGCATTGGAAGTGATTAATTGCAGGCCTGTGCTATATGCTTGCATGCTACAGTGGAATTGTATTGACTTCCTCTGCAGTGGAATTCTTGTTGCCTTTAGAAAAATGCTGTTGTGATGGGAGGAAAGGCATCGTCAGCTTTACAACAGCCCTCTGGTTCCTTCAGTTAACGCTCATGCACTCCCTGCCTTCTCCAAGTGCCCCAGTTCCTTACACAGTGTATAAGCTGGTGGCTTTCTTCTTGGCCTTAAAGAATGCAGTTTCCCCCAGGCTGGGTTCTCCACCTGCATGTTGTGTGTTTTGATGATGGGGTATTCAAAGGATATCCAGTGGCTGCACAGCCTGCTCGCCATAATGCACTTGTTTAGTGTGTGTGAGAAATTACTGTAAGGCTCTAAGCCTATGCATGCATCCTATGGACAGCTTATTGTAAGACATCCCAAGACATCAGTGGCAGATGGGGTACAAAAGTTTTAAATAGATAAAATAAAAATAAATGCACAAAAGCTTATAACTCCAAGCCAGCTGTGGGAGACAGGGTTTTTGGGGTTTTTTTTACAATCTTAACATAGCTAGTATTGCCGCTTAAATGTGTATGGCTCATCCTGCATCCTGACTGGCCCATCATGTCCCTCTTTCCTTAATACAGAAGCTTTCTAAGCAATTTGCTGTACACATTGAACATGCAGTCATTGGGAGCATGGTGACTGGGCACAAGTCTACCTCTCCTGTGCTCTCAAGAAAATTAGGAAGGATAAATGGAACACAGCAAATTCTTACATCTGTTTGCCCATGTGATGACGAAGCAAGAGAGCTCTGATCTATCCATATTTTCTGTTTATGATGCTGTGGCCGTGCCAGATTATCAGGATACCATTTCTACTCACCTTGGGTGACTAGATGCATTCCTAGTTGTAGTTCTGCATTTAAAGATTTAGTACATGATTCTTCTGTTGAGCCACTGTCCTGCAGTGCCTTATTAAGTATTTGTAATTCTACAGTAAACTGGTCCTTATCCTTGCCTTGTGGCTGGTCATTTGGCAGACAGTAACCTTGGGTTCCCAGTGAGGGTACTGCAGATGGCATTAACATAACCTGTTAATCTTTTGCAATCACTGAATGATGGAAGTAAGTTGTGTTTATTTGCCTGCCAGGGAACCCTTTGGATTTTTCTAAAAAGAATTATATCTGCTGCACTTCTAAGCCAATATTCCCTGGGCAGAGTACAAGACATTCAAAGCAAAGTGCAAGCATTAAAACAATATAAATGCAGTGCAGAATAAATCCAAGATGAAACAGGCAGTGGAGAATAAAACTATGGCAACATTATAAGACCAAATTAAAACCAGCAACAGAATTAAGTTACTAAGAACAGTTTTCCAAATGCTTGGGAAACTAAAAAGGACTTCAGCTGGCACCCAAAAGATCACATGTAAGTGTCAAGTGAATCTTTTTGGGGAGAACCTTGCCCAAACAGGGTGTCACCTCTGAAAAGGCCTCCTTGTAGCCACTCAGCTCACCTGGTGGGGCAACCTGAAAGAAAGCCCTGGGCAATTATCTGTGTGTCCAGATAGGTACAGTAGATATATTGTGGCATTTTAAACTTGAGGCATGCTGAAGCTACAGCTGCAACTGAAATCTCTTATGCATTAGAACTCCTTCAGCTGTGATGCCTGCCAAGCAAAAGGGTTGGGTAAAAGTTGTTAGCCTGAATCCACCTCTAGTTCCTGCTGTGACTCTTATGTTTGGAAGATCCATGGTGCTATTTTGTTTTTTCTGTTCTCTTTTCAGTTCTGCCTGGAGAAACGAAGCACAAGCCAGTCAGAGTAAGTAATGGGTCATGTGTTGAAGTGACTTGCATTTAAAAATAAAAAGTTTCCACTGCATTTAGCAAATCTGATTAAAGTTCTTCAGTGTCACTTGCTCACTAGATGGGATGTACAGGGTCAGAGTGATTCATTGTTGCTTAGGGCCAATTCATACAAAGCAAATTGCCTACACTGCTTTTACTTCCTATACCTTGTTGGTTGTAAATTATGCTACCAGCTGCCTTGTTCTGCCATTGACTTTATGTGGGTCCCAGAGCCTCAAAGAACCTTGCATGGGAAAGGAACATTTGCCAACTGGCTTAAGGTTGAGTACCCCATCACCAACACCCTGGGGGACCCTAACGTCACATCTGAGACCATCTCTGTTGGTACAGGTAGAGAGGCTGATGGTTTGTGTCTCTCCTGGTCCTACACAAGATGCTAACACTCCAGACTAGTAATCAGATGGACAAGGCACCTAGGGAGGGATTGAATTCTTAAGGACCATGGTGACTCCCATGCCCATGAATGAGAAAGCTTGCATTCTGCATCATCTGGCATTTAAAAGCAGCATCCAGAGCTCTGCATAGATTATGAAGTCCAGTAATTGCTGTTTTGTGGACTTCATAATCTATCCATAGCTGTGTAACTAAGCAGTGGAATGTGAGGTACTTCGTTCACATCTTACTTTGTTGCGATGTCTGCAAGTGACCTGAAACTGCTATTGCTAATTGTGATATGGAGCAGATGATACTGGGATGTTGTAAGGATTATTGTGGTCCCGTTTGTGAAGCATCTTGGCCATTTTTGTTGCTTGAAAAAATTTCCATGCAGCTTCTTCATTGCCAAAGTCAATTTCAGGGAAGCTATACATAAAGTTATGAAACAACAGAATGATAGAAAAAATTAAGCCAAGACAGAAAAACCATACAAGCAGCAAATTAAAAAACCAGTCAATCTAGACTTAATTTAGACTGTGAAGCTAATTTTAACATGTCAATATTTCCTTCAAAATGCCTGGCATGCAAGAATTGTTCAGTTTGGTGCCAAATAGGAAGCACCATTGGTGCCAACCTGCCCTGTCATGGGAGGGCATTCCAAAATGGATGTGCCACCACAGAGAAGGCCCTCCCTTAAAGAGATGCCCAGTATGTTCCTTCCAGTGATGGCTGATGGAGAAGCATCTCCTCTGAAAATCTCAGTGCATAAGCCTGATGGTATGTTAAGTGCCATGCAACTCTTGTTGTTGAAAAAGGTGATAAATTTCCAAACAGGGACTGAGTGGGGGATTTTTCTGAGTCAGATTTATGGGTCCTGCCATCCCAGTATGTGTGGCATAACATTACTTACACAGAATCTAATTTATAATGTTCTGACTGCCTTTCTCAGATGTTTTTTTTTGCTTGGAACCTGTTTTCCTAGCTCTCTTAGTTGCCTAACATCCTTCCTTCTGACAAGAAGCCTTCTACATAGGAAGCATGAGTACTATGGTCTTGCAGACTGATTTTCTGGCTGTTGGTAGGATGACTGGCCTGGACTGCAAAGCAGAGTTTGGGAGAAGGCAGCAAGAGAGCAAATTCAGAAAGTTATTTAAACTCACAGATGGGTCTTAAATGAATGAACCTGTCATCAGTCAGCCTGCTAAGCTGCATGGAATGCAGTTCATTTAGTACGAGGTATGAAATGAATACAGAACAAGAAACCAATAAGCCATATTTCTTTGTGTCGTTGTTTATGACGCACCCTTAGCATGCATGCTGCATTGCAGAACATAAACAACAGCTCCCCGCACCAAGGAATGTGTAGTCTGCAATTGACTACTTGAGAAAGTAAGGAAGGGGAGGCAACCACAAAGAGGGAAATGATGGCTTGGTTCCTACAGGTAGTAAAGGAGGGCTGCAAAGGAAAGTTTCGTATCCTCTCTTTCTTGCAGCTGTATCTTATCTCACATTGTTCTGAAGGAGTCTCTTAAGCCTCCAGAGAGGCTTTTCAGGGGATGGAAAATGTTTGTTTATGTATTTATTAAATACATTTTTAACCAGCCGAAAAGCCCAAAGGCTCTCTGTTGCTTTCCCTGTTACATCCAGTCTACTAATGTGGCTGTTTATGTTACCTGTTCTTTGTTATAGTAGAGTGTGGAAATCTAGCTTTTGGTTCACCACTTTACTGTAGTGATCTTGGTAGTGGTTAACCAGTACGAAGCCTCAGCGTTGGTTGTAGAAGATATTAATTCTGAGCAGTTTCCCTTCTCACTTTTGACCCTTCTGGTTCACACAGATGGTGGTTGGGATGTGAGGACTTGTAGTCCAACAGGGGAAAGCAAAGGGCAGCTTCTTTTAGAACATTGTTGCTTTCTAGATGAAAGCCACATCGAATAACCTCTTTGTTCTGCCCCACCTTCAAAGTTTGCTAAGTACATTATTTTAGCTTGCATAATGTTGAGAAAGAAAAGGAAAGGGATTTCATTGGAAGTGATGCTTTTTGATGGCTTGGGATCTGTTATGTCTTAAATCAGGAGCAATTATCTTGAGCCCAGGGTGGATCAGGAAACTAGAGAAGCTGGATGAATGATTTCACTCTTATCTTCATGTAGGTGATGAGAGAGGTTGACAAGTAAAGCTGTGCATAATGTGTACAGGTGTGGAGGTGCATGAAAACATCTGGGGGAAACACCTTAATTCTTCTCAGGGACTTCACATTTTTAAAGGAGAGAGCTGAGAAATTTCCCTCCCTCCCACACTGACAGGAAATTCATGACACAAAGTGACAGATGGTTTCAGTGAACTTCTACATGAGGTGTTGACTTTCTTGGCTTCCTTTAAAGGGAGATAAGATGGAATTATGGAGGCAAAACCTGTCAGTGACTGCTAGGTCCAGGCAGCTTGCCTTCCTGTCCCTTTTTGGCTTTCCCATAGACAGCTGGTTGGCCACTGCAGGAAGCCGGATGTTGGATGAAAGAGCCCTCTTGTTTGATCAAGCACACCTCTTAGACAAGTCTCTGCCCCAAGGAGTTGCCAGTCTGAGAGTAGCCCTGGCTTCCTATATGCAGTTGCATGTGCAGTGGATTATAAGTTTTGGAAAGATTAGGAGAAGGCACAGAGTTCGGTGTCGTAAAAATACTTGTAATGATTTGCTATTCAAATGCAGCTGTTGGTTCATAAAATCCACAACAGCTTTGTCCACATGTAGTAATACAGACTTTGCGCTTTTGATGAAGTAGGTGTGATTCAGGAGTGGCAGCTTTATAATCCTAAATCTGGGGGAGCAAATTTTGGCCGTCTTCCCATTTAGGTTCCAAAAAGCATTCTCAGGAATAATGTCAACTCCGCTGAACAGCAAATGAAATGTGAATATAATAAGAGCTACAAGGGAAATTCTTAGTGTAGTAATGGTAGAATTGTGTTACATTTTATTTTGGAATGAGGAGCAGTTTAAGAACCTGAAGCTTCTTTTCAGCAATCCAACCCCATGAGTGCAATTTTGAGAAAGTCTGGGGGCACATCTGCATTCTCTGGCTTTTTCTTGATTGTGTTTTATTGGACTGTCCCTGATTCTTAGACTCAGCCATGCCATAGAATGGGGCAAGATATGCATGGTCTGTCCTTTGGGAGGGCAGTTTCAGGTATGCTTGTTGGAAGCAAGTCCCATTGAGCTCAATGGGGCTTATCCCTAATACAGGGATGCAGAACCTCAAATGCAGGGGCCAAATGTAGCCCTCAGAGATTTTCCACCCACTTCCCCTAGCTGCCCATACTTTCTCCCAACCACCAGTCATGGGGTGCGTTCCTGGTTTTTTTGCAGCTCGGGTCCCATTCCCAGAGTCTGAAATGCCTCTCTGAAGGCTTAGTTACTGGCAGTAAGGGTTTTAATCTAAAATACGCTGCTGTTTTGGTGTCGCCCCATTGCCTGGAATGCAGACCCCCAGAGCAGTTCTGGACTGGAATTTGGCCCTTTGGCTGAAAGTGGTTTGGCGCCCGTGCGCTTGCAGGCATGTGTAGCATTGGAACATGACGACCTCTTTGGGATTTCTTCCTTTCGAAGCATCTGGGCTGCTGCTGCTGCATCTTGCAACTCGAATCTATTAGCTCTGCTCTGTTAGTAGTAAGGTCAGGGTGATCTTCAGGAGTCATCCATCAAATGGAAGCATCCCTCGGGCTCCAACAAATTGATGAGGCACCCGGAGGTTGAAATCTCCTGCACGTGCGCTACATCAGCATCCTTTCGTTAGCAGGCACCTAAGCTGCCGTTCATGTTCTTTCCATTGGTTGGTTTGCAGGACCTGATTTATCTTTGACTGCCAAGAGAAGTGATACCCACAACCACTCTTAAATTGGAAACGTAGAGTGAGGTGGGGGTAAGCTACTAGAAGGGATGCTTACGAGGATTTTTGTGTGTGAAGCAGGCGACCAATCAGTTCAGCCAGACTTGATGGATAAATAGGCATGTTTAAGAAAATGAGAACGAAGTTACATTGTGTTCTCTGTGTCCAATGCTTTAAGTTTTCTGACAGTGAGTTCACAATGCACCACTGTCTTACCATCGGGATCTATTTTTTTGTACTTTATTCTGCTCAAGTACAAAATTTGATACTCGAAATTTGGCATCTGGAAAAGAACAGCGCTTTGTCCTTATAGATGTGAAAACAGGCTTGAAAGGTGGCAGGAGGGTGTTGTGACCAACTTTGATTGCTTGGCTATCCATGTGATGAGAATTTTTATGTAGCCTGAGTTGGAACTCTATTAAACATAGAGCCCATGGGTACCAGAAAATTAGTTCTAAATGAATTCATTAATTAACTTTCTGTACCACTTAATACACAAAGCTCTCCATAAATCTTGCAAAATAAACTATATTTTGCAAAATTTCACTCAGGAATAGAAGTCCTTAACAATAACTAAGAGATCAGAGTGTGACTTTTAAGCCGTAACTTAAACTGAGGAAATGCTGATGACTGTTTGGCCCTTCTTGTAGGCTGCAGCATCCTTCTGCAGTTCATCTGGTGATATTCAGTTTCTGGTGCTGCTTCCATTATCCCTTTTCAGCTGGGCACATTTACAGCGACCTGTTCAAGAGCACATGGGCTCCTACTGTTCTCAGGACATGACAGAGTTTGTTTCCTGTTGTTGTATCAGCCAAGCAAGACACATCTTGCTCTGTGAGAAGTGACAGCTTGGCTGACCTTTGGTATTCTCATGACAAACTGGGCTCGCTTTAGCTCAGCTTGGCTTCTTTGTATTGGTTCTCTAACTTGGAAGAATTAAAAGACTGTTTCCCTGAGAAAGTGATCAGCATTAGTACAGTATTTTCAGCAGCAATCCTATGCATGTTTAGACAGGAAAAAAAACCCTACTATTCCCCTGTGGCTAGCCAGCGCATACGGGGAATGCTAGGACTTTTTTGTGTGTAAACATACAATTCTTCAAATGCCAGCATCGAGTATTTAGAAGCCAGCCCTGCCCAGATGTTTAGAACAGACCTTAAAATCCGACCAAACTGGTCAGGACTGTTTGGATAGGGCTTGGTGTTCTTTTCCACCAGAATTAACACTTCGTAGTGAGAAATGTCAGATTCTGCAGTTGGGTGAAAAACAACTGGGACCTGCGGCAAAATGTTGCAGAGTGCAGTGTGTTGGTTCAGGATGCATAATTTCATTCTCCTTCTCTAGGCCTGCTTGTGAACCAGCAGTCTGTGCTCTCTGAGCATGCACCCCTGTTCTGGGATTTTGACCCCCGTCACATAGTTTTTCTAAAGTCCTTTTTTATACTACCGTGAACGTGGGACTGCTCCCAAACCTGCCAGTGCTTTCCTCTTGTAAAGGATGGTGCTATCCTGGCTACATAAGGACCACCAACTAATGATAATAGTACAGTTGGATAATGTCTACCTAGAAGTAACACCCAAACACACACAACTCTTGGGCTTAGCCTTAATCCTATATATGGAGTAGGGATGTGTTCATTTTGTATCTGAATGCTCAGAAAACTTCTCACTGTGGATTTCGTGGGTCTGAGCGCAATGGAAGCCACAGAGGTTGTGTGTGCTGCTAAACAATAGGAAATTAGAACAAATGTATTGGAAAGGGCAGGAAAAAGTCTAAATTTATTGGAATATTTTTTTTAATCATCCTGGAAACATATGAATCTACCTTGCATTGAGCAAGACCTCCAGTTTGCACTCTTGAGTAGTTTTTTGACTTCGACCAACAGTAGATCTCATGTGGTGATCCTTTTCCAGCTGGCAATTGACCTTGGTTCTGAATTTGTGATATTCCGTTGTTGTTTTAATGTCATATTATTATTTGCCCAGTAATTTGTACTATGATAATCTCTCCCAGATCTTATTTATTTATTTAAAACATTTATACCCATCTTTACCCAAACTGGCTCTCAAGACAGCTCACAAATCAATAATAGCACATTGAAATTCCACTTTAAAACCCATCAGCTCTTAAAATATTGGGAAAATAAAAAGGGCTTGGCCTGGCACCAAAAGGAATTGAGCATCAGCACAAGGTGCACCTCTCTGGGGAGCAAATGCCAGAGCCATGGTGCTACCACAGAAAAGGTCCTTCTCTAGGTAGCCACTCTTCTAACCTCTTTCAAGGGGGGCTCCCAAAGAAGGACCTCAGTAGAAGATCTTTGGGCAGGTGTATATGGAAGGAGACATTCCTTCAGATATCCAGGCTCTAAACTGTTTAGGAATGTATATGTAAAAGTGAACACTTTAACTCGGGCTTGGACTTCAGTTGGTAAACAGCGGAGGTTATATAGGACTGGCATTATCTGATCACATCTGCCAGTGAGGAATCTCGCCACTCTGTTCTGCACCAACTGAATACAGAATTGAAGTCTTGGGCTCAAGTCTTCCACATCAGTACCTGCTCCCTGATCCGTTCGCTTGAGCCTGCCAGGAGCCAATTCAGGCCTTCTGTATGCAAATCACAGGCTTTGGCTCTGAACTTTGGCTCTTGCCATAGTTGCACAGGGCTGACGTTGCGCAAAAGCTCTGCAATTAGTTTGTGAGCCCTTCACTTTCTCATTCAGGCCAATACCTGTTGCAGCTGTACAAAACAAAGCACTGCCTTGAAGAGCTCTGGAACTGTTTCATAGCCTCCTTACAGGTGTCCGGCAGTAGCATGAGCAAACCGGTTCAACCCAGAGTGTCCATTAATTTCCTGGCCATGCCATTTGAATTCTAGTTTCCCTGCCACGGCTAGTGGATATGGATTGGAGAGTGGACATCAAGACGTCCTCAGACACTGTCAGCAGAATGGCTGTCCCTACCTGCTTGCTGCAGCTCAAGGTACTGTCTTGTTTGTTGATAAGGCGTTTGTAGAAAGGCTTCCCACACTCCTTTTCTGTTTAGTTCCTTTCTCTGTGCTCTGTTTTCTGGATGCCTCCAAACGTTACTGTAGAACAAGGCTAGACAACCTTTTCACCCCTGAGGGCTGCAGAGACGGTATGGCGGGGGGCGGGGAGCACATGCATGCACACCAGCTTGTATGTCCACACTCACGGCTCCACATACATCTCTGCCTGGGACCTAAAACATGCCATAGTTGGCCCCCTCCCACATACCAATATAGAGGTCATTTCACAAAGGCAGGGTCCACCACCCACAAAAGCCCATTTGGGGGTTACTGCCTGATGGCAGCATGCAGGTTGAACTCTGATGCTCTTCGCAACTGAATGTGTGAAAAAGTGTGCAAAGCTTGTGTTATCCAAAGCTGGCCTCATACCTCTCAGTCTCTTGAAAACCTTCTGGACTGGATCCAGAGAAATGCCCTCCACATTGGGAATGCAGGCTCGTGGAGGAGTAACTGGGTTCAGCTGACATGATTGCAATCTGCCTTCAAACCTTTCCATTCAATATGGTAAGGCCAGGGGTGAGGGGCTGGCATGAACATCTCCTCCATGGTAGCTATCCATGGATGTCTAAATGAGACCAAATTTGAATGCTCTTAGTTCTCGTTGAAATCAGTAGGATTGCGGTTAGCCATGAGACTTTTTGTATTGATTTCAGCAGGACTTCAGTACTACTAACTTAATCTGGATCAAACCAACCCCCCCCGTCTGTATCCAGTTTATTGCTTTTGTTCAGCCGCAGGAGCTCTGAAGCTACCGCAAAGCAGAAAACTAGAACATTTTTGTACAAGAAACAGCTCACTGTTAATACTAAGCCATGTTCAGGGTCCTGCCGAGTTCTGCCTAAATAAATCTGAAAGAGACATTGTGGCAGCCTGCCCAGAAAAGAGACACTATTTGGTTGTCTTTGCTAGGACTTTTGTCACTCTTCTTTGAGGCATGGCTAGCTAAACTGAAATACAGAGATGTTTAGAAACAAGTAAAACAGCAGCCTTTGGAGTTTCTGACTGCTACCGCAAAGCCATCTTTCCTGCTTGCGTTTGGAGAAGGTTGTGTTGTGCTAAAGACCCTTTGTGCTCTTAGAGGTTATGGAAATATTATGTGTTTCCAACCCTCCACAAATCATCTAGAGGGAAAGTGATTTCCAAGGTGAGTTTCAGCTCTGTTTTTCTTCCAGATTCAGGAAGATGCTGCCTTGTGTGGGAATGACTTCACAACCTCTGCACTGACGGTAGAGCTGAATAAACAAACATTGGACACTATGCTAGATGGCCTGGGAAGGATTCGGGACCAGCTGTCTGTTATTGCAAATAAATAATGCCGTGAATAAAGAATTGCAGGAGCCATCCACACGCAGAAAAGACTATTCTTATTTTTCCAGTTTGAATATATTCTACAAATAACCCCTTTTTGTCTTCTCTTCTTCATAACCAAGTAATTTTTAATATTTTGGGATCTTTTTAAACAATATAGGATGGCTGTATTTTCTTCAGCAACATGTTCTTGGTCTGGTGTCTGAAATACGTCCCTCATGTCAATATGGCCGTCAATTCCTAGAGAGGCTCATAAGTCGGCTCATTCGCAAAGCTTGTGACAGGAAAGAGGGGCAGCCAATGAAGCGGACTCCTATCTCCCTGCTCTGAAATTAGAGGACTAAAAGCGCCAATGCTGCTAATAGGCTGCTGTCAGCCTCAACATGCTTTTGAAAGGTGTGTGCTGGGGAGCATGGGATATGAGGCTTTCCTCTTCACTGATGCACAGCTTTTGGAAAGGAGGAACAGTTCTGTCAGATTGCAACAAAAATGCCTTGGGCGAATGCCTCCGTTTGAAGTTAAAGGGTTGACATGGATTGCGCAGCAAGTAGCTTCCACTTTGTAATAGAAAGTTTTTGTCACTTTGTATTGGGTTGAACAGGATGTGGGAGGCTCAGAGAGCAACTTGGATGCTCCAAAGAGTTGCTAGGGGCGACTGGTTCCTGTAGCAACCCTTTGCTGTTTATGAAAAATTAAGCATTTCATTAAAAAAAAAAAAAGATCTGTGCTTGATGGATTTCTGTTTGTTCTGAATAAATTACTCCCCCTTTCTGAGATGACACTAAAATGCATAGGAAAGCATGTGTTAAGGGTCTGTAGACACAAATCATAAACACAAGAACCAGTTGATATACAAATATTACTTTTATATTCAAAACCACATAAATATTAAGCATATGCAAAGAGATAAAGCATCAATACAAAACTGCTTGTCAGTAAATGGTAAACCAAGTGGCCAAGGGCATTATTTAGGAATGCAGCCTGCCTGTTTAAAGGACACCTCTAGGTTGTAGATCTCACAGAATTTAACAGAATTCTGGTTGTTTCCAGATATTACTTCAGGAAAAACAAACTATCTGCTAGTGTTAGGCAACCATAGATCCAAATTGTTGACCGTAGCAATAGATCCAGCAACTAGTTTCATGTCAACTATTTTTTTTATGCTTTAGAGCACAGACCTATGCATGTTTAGCAGAAAGTACTACAATTCTCAGCATCCCTCCAGGCAGCCATGCTGAGAATTGAGGATTTTTTCTGACGAACTCCGCATTGGGTTTTGGGCCTTCGGTTACTAGGAGAAGCTACTGTCTGAATTCGCATTTAACTTTGGTCAAGAAAGACAATCTGTCCTGCCCAACACCACAGGTATTCCTGACCCATTTGAGCCTGATGCAGGCCATCAGCACCTGCCTCCTCCTCCTCCTCCTCCTCCTCCAGCAAAGTTGACTAAAACTGCCCTTCTTTTTGCTTGCCCTTTCCAGCTGCTGGCCATCTGCTCCTGAGCCTCCTTGAGAAAGCACCATCTAGTCAAACTGCCTGATAAAATGCGAAACTTCTCATTCTAGCCAGAAGAGGCATTGCACCTCCCTGTCCTATCACAAAGCATCCTTTTTTCTTCTCCTGCCAGAACAAGCAAGTCACCCCCGGGAGAGGTGATAACTAACATTGCAAAGCAGCCTTCTTCCTTTTCCCCATCTCTTATGCTTTGGAGCTCCTTCGTAGAAGCACCTTGGTCTAATGAAGCTGGCCTAATTCTCATTATGCAATTCATCTCTATTTTCAAAGCAGCTATTTTTTCAGTTGCATGCAATGAAGTACAGAAAAGCAGAAAACATCTACAACGCTAATCCAAAATAGTTTGGATAGGCAAACTGCTGTTACACAGGTGTGCTTGCTTCTGAGGTGCGTTAGGGTGAAGTCAAGGTGAGTCAGTGGTGGCCGATGGCTCCAGTGCTGAGGGGATAGTGTATCCACTCCTATTTTCAGTCTAGATATTAAAGGTGCCCTCCATGCTGCTGGACCTATTTCGGGAAAAGAGATCAGCACCATGGAGCTACCAGCCTACAGTGTGTAATGGTAGAAAAAAGCTTTCAGCATCTGTCCAGCTGGCTGAGATGGCTGGGGATGGTGAGAATTGTATGGTCTGTTTCAAGTACACATGTAAAGGACTGCACTCTTAGTGTTTTAAATATTACACTTATCTAATTCTTGTAGAGTGGTGGTGGCAATCAAGCCGCCACTGCATGTTTTGGATTACAGCTGGCATCTTCTCTGCCTGTTGGCTGTGCTGGCTGGGGCTGATCAGGGTTGTAGTTCAAGATGCGACCCTGACTGGGGTTGTAGTCCATCTGTTCCAAAGAACCTACTGCAGCGTGGGGAGGGACACGCTGCATTCAAAAAGTGGATGGCGTGCCTCTGAGCGATGTGGCCCAGGCCTGACCCAAGAGAGGGTGGCTGGGAAGGGAGCACTTTCCCTTTAGCCAGCCCATCCAGTGTAACTGAGCCCAAGATGTTATTTTCTGGCCAAGGCCTGGCGGACACCAGGTCGCCTGCCTCTACTGGAATGTTCAACGTATATCATATGCATCATCTCGGAAATCCTTGCAGTAGCTTTCTCAATATTAATAGTTTGTGAACGCTGATAGTGTCCTGCCTATGGTCAACTGGTAAGGCATGAAATCTGAGCCCAGCATTTCTGGCTTGCAGTTCCAGCCTTTCTGCCTAGCCAGGCTTTTTTGGTATCCTTCCTGCCTTCACTTTAGGAACGTAGGTCACCCTTCTGCTGAGGTGAGCTGTGGGCCCATGCAACCCACAGCTGGCAGCTCTAACCATCAGAAGCTCTCCAGGGTCTTGGAGGCACCGATTTGAATGCAAGGCCGCTTGCTTGCAATGCACATGTTACACTACTGGATGATTATTTGCATGCTGCAGTAGGCCATAAGATAAGGTAGTTCGTCTGTTCCCATTCAGACTTCTTCAGTGACAGGCTTAATATGGGGGGCCAGTTCTGCCTTCCGCAGTTCTAAATCTAAAGTGTCTAAAAGCATGTAAATGTCTACCCTCAGTGCTTTCTTAAAAAAATTATTTATTCATGCATTTTGCTGCCTTCTGGTTTTGTTTTGTTTTGTTTTGCATTCTATACTTTAATTCCATGCTATTAATTACACTAATTTTCCTGCATCCTTCCGTCTTGGAGGGCAGTTCTGTGCCTAAACTGTCTGGCTGATTTATTTTCTGTAAATCCTTGTGAGGCTCGAATCGCTTGAGCTTTATTGAATAACCGTCGCCCACTCGATGTAACTTGATTAAGGTTTAATAATTCAGCTGCCGATGGGCTTGCCGCTTTCCCGTAACCACATTGCAGATACACCAACCGCCAGGCCGGCAAACTCAGCTTCTTCCCTAGCAGTGTGCCACTTTGCATGTTCCCCATATCCTAAGGTAATTTGAGAGGTGGTTAATTGTGCTAATATGTTGTGTTTATATGGCATCTTTTCAACAGCTATTAAGCCAGCACTGCTAGTGGGGAAGCTGAACTAAACTGCAGGAGCTATGAAGCGATTTGTCAGCGGCGTCATTTCATCCACTCCGGAGAATCTACTGTGGCGCAGGGAGCAGCATCCGGCATTCAGAAAGGGAGGGCAGAGGCCGTCCTCCGGGGAACATGGCCCAGGCCTGACCCAGGAGACATTCACCTGGGAAGAGAGCTCCTTCCACTTGGTTCCCCTGCCCAATGTAGCAGTTATTTTCTGGCAGAGATGTGCTGGCAATTATCTCATAAAGACAGGTGCGGTATGGGAGTCCTCTTGCTATTGACTGCAATGCCCATGAGTCCCAGCAGGGCCAGTGGTAAGGGATGTTGGATTCACTGATTGATTGGACTTCTGTACTGCCCAATAGCTGGTTTGCAACATAGTGGGAGTTTCAGCTGAACACTGTGAGGGAGATACGCCTTTGCCACAGCTGCAGTAAGGGAAAAGGAGGTTTTCTCAAGGCATTCAACTCAGCAAAGAAAGGCAGAATCTGGATGGGAGGAACAGGATGACTTGTTCTTGCTCTTCCAGGGTTTCGTCAGAGTCTTCTGTTCTACCAACATTAACCACCTCTTTTTGTTTTTCAGTTCCAACCCTGATTGATAGATTGACTGTATTTCTGTTCTAAGGGAATGTGTACAAAATTCAGGAAGACAGGTGGTTATCCAGCACCTCGCAGACAAGGCCATGCATATCAGCCTTGCGGAGCGGTTCTGGAGCTGATGGTAGCCACCCAGCTGCTCTGCTTGCCCATTCCTCATCCCAGCTGTGGGACAGTCGATCACCTCTTCTCCCTTCTTACCTTAAGGCTTGCTGGCACTGGTAATTTTAAAACAAGGAAGGAGGCCTGTCCCAGAAACTGCTGTATGCACTATGCTTAAGAAATATTTTTCAAAAGGACTCTGTGGACTGCGATACTGTGAGGAGCAAGCTGTAAATGAAATGTTGGCATTTGTAGCAAAGTCTCCAGGCTGGCCTCTTGAGTTGAGGCATGGTGGGGGAAAACGGGAGTGCTTAATTATTTTCCCTTGGGCCATATTTTCTGCTCAAAGCCACCCCCAACCTCAACTGCCTTTTATCTCACACGGTTATGTTTCCCTGTTCGCTCTTGCACTCAAAATTGCAGCAGTTTGAGGCTGGTTTTTTTAAAAAGATAATTTTTCCTTTTGACCATGAAAACTGACTAGGGCACTTGCACTCAGCATGAGGGAATGAGTGACAGATTGTTCTGCCCTTACATGCATCTTTTCTATGTTGAAAAAATCTGCACGTAAGGCAGCTTTTGCAGTGCTTAGTGCGCTATGCTGGATTGAGTATTTCTTTTCTAGCCTTGAAGGAGTTGAAGGCCATGGGCTTATTTGGAAGCAACATTTACTTTATAAATACAAGAATCATAATATGTAAATATCAAAAATATATCCAAGTATAAACATACATAAATTCCCAGGCCAACATTCTAAAGTCCCTTGGGTTCAGTGCTAAATACTTAGGCATGTGCTCAAAGCACTCC